ACATACTAAGTATATCAGAAACCTTAACTCTTTCCCATTCTCATTTTTTCACCTTAACAGGAGAAAAAATTATCCTGAAAAATCTAGTTCACCTCAGCATATTTAGCCCAAAGTATGATTAAGTACTATGCTCTGGCTGACTACTGTGATTTAATACTTAGATTTTCAAAGTGCTCAAAGTGTGCAGCTTGGACTGCACTATCAGAGCTAATTAGAAATACAGACCCTCAGGTTTCTCTAGATTTGTTTCATCAGAATTGGCATTCCAATTCTTATGCATGTTCTGTGCTGTTTAATGGAAAGAGCATTGACTTAGGAGCTGGAATATTGGCCTTCCACTGTGCTTAAAGGAGAAATGTTTTCTGTTATTTCTGGAAGGATCAGGTAGGAGCTGAAAGAACAAAAGCAAACACTGGCTTTAGCTATGTATTAAAAATAATATGCACATGATGCTTTTTGGATTTGAAAGCATTTAAATAAAAATGTGTAAACTAAGCTGCACACAGCACATACACACATGTGCACGTGCTTGCACACACACACACACACACACACACACACACACACACACTCCAAATCGTCTGGAGCTGTGTCACCCAAGCCAAGAGAGAGAAAGAGAAATCAGCATCCCTCACCCTTGTGGACACTTCCTGTAACATTTATCACTTGGCTGATGTGTTCCTCCTATTTTCCTACCCAAGAGGAGAGTATTTGCAATTCTGTGAAGCTGCCCTTTATTCAGCAAAACAAGGACAGAAAGGAAGAAAAAAGGGCAGTGAGTCTCCTTGGTGCATAAGACCCCGAAATGAATCTGCAATCAAGTCATGTAACCAGGACCTATTTGCAAATAGCACTGTTTGGGGAAGGGTATTATTGTAGGGGATACTTTTGAAAACGTGTTCCCGGAGGACAGACTTTTATCATCTTAGAAGTTGAGACGCTATTTTGCTTCTCATCTTTCTTTATTCTATTCACTTTCATTCTTCATTCTTTCAGGGGTTTACATTACACACTTCCCTCTGTGGTCAAAATAGCTGGTCTCCTAATTTGAAGATGTTTCATCATTAAAAATTATATTAAACCATCGACTATCCTCAGGGAAGACTTAATTTCCATTTTCTGCTGCAGTCAGCATGGCTGATGTTTGGTCTTTCCATAAAGCTGGAATCTATTTAAAGCCATTTCCATAATCGTGGAGTCATCTGATACCATTTCATATTCTTTCTAACCAACTAACTACCCATTTTTAAGAGCCAATAAAATTGACCTGATTTCGGCTAAAAGAAAAGAACACACTTTAAATTCTGCAGAACCAAGAAATTATGGAAACAGCTTTTATTGAGTGAAAGCAATAAAATTACAACGTGCAAATATATAGGAGTGTTAGGTTATCGATGCTGGATTTGGGGACGTAACTGGGGAGAGAAGAGGAGGCAAACATTCCTCTCAGGAAATCTTCCTAGCTGATTTTAGGCCAGATATACCTGTCATTCCCACTAGCATTTGTTTTTTCTTGTAGGAATATATTCTAATTATTTCTGTTTATAAACTAACGTGTTCCAAGTAAAGAAGACTTAGAAAATAGATAAGATCTTAGAATTAAAAAAACTCTAATTAGAAGCTGCATTCTCATCTCTGACATGTTTCATTTATGTATCTTCAATTGAATAAACTACATCTGCCTGCTATGTAGTTACTGATTTCCCTTTATTAGATTAAATTATGCACCCTTGATGGGAAATGCATTGTCACATCAAGCATCTCTTAAACAGCTTAAGTGGATGCCCTATTTATTTCCATTCTCAGCAGGAAAAAGGCCCGCAGACTCTACTACTGAGGTTGCTACTCCTTGCAAAGCAACAACGGGTTCCTTTTCCCCACCAGCCTCACCAGGTGGGAATGTGAACTGATACAGCCAAGGTGGAAATCATTATGGAAACACATCAAAACACTAAAAATAGAAATTCCATTTCATCAAGATATTTCTTTTCTAGGTATCTTCCCAAAAGAGTTAAAGACATTCTATTACAGAGATACACGTATACCCGTGTTTACGGCAGCACAATTCATAGCAGCCAAACCTCGAAGCAGCCTACATGCTCATCAACAGACAAATGAATGATGAAGAAAATGTGGAATGCATACACAGTGCTATACTGCTTTGTCATAAAGAAAAGTCAACTGGAATCACATGTAGGAAAACGGATGTACCACGGTCTCAAGGTGCTTTCATATTCCTACAGGTGACCTTGAATTTATCTTCCTTTTTGGCACAGCAATAATTCACTGTGTATCTATATCACATTTTCTTTATCCATTCATCTCTTCATAGGCATGTTGGCCTCTTCTAAGATTTAAAGATTTAAATTAAAGCTAGATAATAGGAAGTGGGAAGAGAAATCTTTCTCAAAGGGGATAGAAATCAAGAGATGGAGGAGGGGATGGAGGAGAGGGAAGAGAATGAAAAGGGAAATTAAGAGGGCTGGGGATTTGGTTCAGTGGAACCCTTGCCTACCTTTCAGGCACAAGGTCCTGAGTTCTATCCCTGGTACCAAAAAACAAAAATGAAAACAGGAATTAAACCACCACCACCACAACAACAATCACACGAACACACACACACACACACACACACACACACACACACACGCACACACACGCACACACACATGGCTGGGTTTGTACCAAAAAGGGTGCCATGATGGAGACATACTTACAGGCACTGACTTGGGAGGAGGTGGTCGAAGGGTAATAAATTTTAACTGAGACCTGAAACATTATACAGACTCTGCTCCAAGAAGTACGATATTTTTAGTCAGAGGATCCTTCATCCTCTTCAGTGTGTACGGGGTTGAAACTAAACAAACACACCAGACCCAGGCCTTCCCTTGAGAAATGTGCAGGGACAGCTGTGACTCAGAGCAGACTTCCGTCTCATGAGTCTCAAGTACAGACAGGGAGCTCTACTCCCTAACCAGATCTACAAGAAAACCTGAGTGGGGAGTGGCTGAGTGTCATCATCTGTGAGGATCTGCAGGTGAATACAATGTGCTAGGAACCTTAAGAAGAATTCTTTCTGCAGGAGTTTGGCCTGCCAGGGGAGCTCTCAAGACAGTAAACAAATCAATAATAAAGAGTTATCTATGGAATAATAAATATGTTTATGGTGTTGTGATAGGAGGAGAGAAGCAATTTTCTTGTCCAAATATCTATGTTTTATGAACGATGGAAATAAGGAGACAGTAAAGCAAATGAACTTGAGCATCATTCTCCTAAATTAGTACCACACAGATTATTTTATTTGTACTCTTTTCTTTTGCAAAAATAATTATAATAATTATCTCAAGGCAACATCAAAGATGGGTATTATAATAGTCAGAAAATGTGTAAGGGGGGTTTGCATTTTTTGCAAAAGTAAATCAGTGTGTTCTTTGTCTCATGAGAGCTTTGCCCCAAATTGAAAATATTTCACAAAAAACATTTGGAAAGTATTAAAATAATTTGGGAAAAAAACCTACAATAATACCCACAACTGCTTCCTCCCTTTAGCATCTGAGCAGTTTTGATCATTTGATAGAGTTTTGACACCTCTGTACATATTTTGCTTAGTCGTAATGTGGGTGTAATTTTAACTTTTCCTAAAATATTACATATCATATTATAAGTGGTACCATGTAATTTGTTACTTCACTCATTGAGGAACCCATTTGAAGGTTTACCTTGTATTTATATTGACTGCAATAAGCAACCTCTGAGTAAGATGCAGCATGGAAAAATAAACCTAGTTGGAAAGCTAGAATAGAAGTAGGAAGAGTTCTGAGAGGAGAGATTTCACTGATTCATTCATTCATTTTTTTAGTTATCACAAGCCAAATAGCTATGCATATAGCATTGTTCAAGGCATTAAAATTAGAGAGGAGTACAGAGTAGACTTTCTCATTGTAAAACAAAGAATTTAGTGAACTGAATGCCAAAAGAGAAAGAACAAATGCAGAGTCACAAATTGTGTGAACTGTACAAAAAATGAAAGAAACTGGTGAATCAAAGTGGGGTGATAAGAGAGGGCGCAGCTGCCAACTTTCAAGCATGAGTTAAATCTTGCAAACAGCCTATACATCCATCAACGGATAAAGAAAATGTGGTATTCATGCACAATGCAATACTACTATGCCATCAAGAAGGATGCATCTGAGGCATTTGTGGATAAATAGAAGCACCTCATGATTATAATGTTAAGTAAAATAAATCAGACAAATTTAAATAGCACATTGCCTCTTTTCTAGAAGAAACTCTAAATGTAAATCAAGAGCAAAATAAAGTACAGATAATGGCAAGTATGGAGATCTTTTTCAAATGGGAAAAGGATCAAGAAGTGAAGAGGAGAAGGGAAGGAAGAAAATTTTAAAAAGGAATGCAGCAGGGTGTGGTGGCGCACGCCTATAATCCCAGCACTCCGGAGGCTGAGGCAGGAGGATCACTGTGAGTTTGAGACCAGCCTGGGCTACATAAGTGAGTTCCAGATCAGTCTCAACTACAGAAAGAGACCCTGTCTCAAAAAACCAAAAAAAAAAAAAAAAAAAAGGAATGCAAGAGAAAAATGTAAATAGTAAATAGAGCTTTTTCAAATGAAAAGGAGATTCAGAGATTTGGGAGAAGCAAGGATGGATGTGATGAGAAGGGAAAACCTAATTAAAATGAGTTTTATCCATGTACAAACTCATCAAAATAAATATTATGTACTGCGTACATGTATTAATAAAAATACATTGATAAAAATTTTTAAGAAAGAAAAAAACATTTTTAAAACAGTAGGGTTTAAACTAAGGTGCTAAAAGTAGGAAGTGATTAGGCTGGAGGGTCACACGTGATTGCCTTTGGGATGTGGTGGTAGAAGAAACTTCTGGATGCATCTCGGTGCCTCAGGAAGGTGTGGCACAGGGGTCTGTTTCTGGTTCCCGACTGCTTCCTCCCCGGCACTGTTTCTTCCCTCTGTTTTTCAGTTGTCATGAACTCAGCAGCTTTGCTCAGCTGTGCTCCTCCTGTGCCTCGATGTTTCTGCCTGGACGTCCGCAGGCCACGTACTGAATCCCTCTGCAATATGAGCCACATCTCCTCTCTAAATTGTGTGCGTCAGATATGTTGTGCAGCAGTCAGAAAGCCGGTTAATACCAAGAAGAAATGGAAAGTGGGTAAGATCCAATATATATTTGGGGAAGTAGAACAAGCAGTGCCTTCAGAATATAAGCCATGAGCTCAGTGGAGGACAATGGTTAATGTGTCTTTTCAAATAGCCTTTCAATTACAAAGGAACTGCTCCATTTTAAATATAAATATCGTTGCCCTTATTTCTAATAAAATACATACATTATGCATTTTAATAGCCTTATATACATTTCTATGATCATTGGACAGAATATAAATATAAACTGTCTCATTATGTAGTTGACACTGACCTGGAACTCACTATGTAGACCAGGCTGATCTCGAACTCACAGCGATCCTCCTGCCTCAGGCTCCAGAGTGCTGGGATTACAGGCGTGTGCCACTACGCCCAGCTGAACAGAATATATATTTTAAACCTAAGTGTGTTTTCACTCGTTCACTCTTTCCTATGTCTATTACTACTGGAGATTTGATGATTTTTTCCTCATCAATTTGTGGGAGGTAGTTTCTTATCAGACATAAAAACTACATTATAAATTGTGTCAGTTAAATTGGATGTCCATGTTTCTTCTTGCTTTTTTTAGTTTTGTTTTTTTCTTAATGAATGAATGTTTATAATTTATATAATACTGAACTGATCACTTCTTTCCTGATTTTCCCTACTGATTTAACACTTTGTTTTTGTGATTCTGACTCACTTTGTTTTATTTTCTGTGTTTGCATGTTGAATGAACCTATCAACTATTTTGGCACATAGTATGAGGTATATTAATTAATTTTTTTCTCCTAAATTGCTGACCATCTTTCTAACATCATTTCTTCAATGATCATTCTGTTTCCTGCTACATGAAATTTTAAGCTGCTGTGTATTAGAATAGTTATATTCTGTTAGACATTTCCTTGGACTGTGGGTCTTTCCCTCCAGATTATGGTGACTGTGTCCAAGGGGAGAAGCATTTGCACAAGAGTGTGCATATGCGTGTGTGGCATGTTCGTGGATGTGTGTGTCTATATCTTTCTCCTTCATTGCTTTCAGGAGACTTATGCTAGAGATTTCTTTATCAAAATAATATTTGCAAGTAATGTTGGTGCATGCCTGTAATCCCAGCACATGGGAGGCTGAGTCAGGAGGATCACTGTGAGTTCAAGACCAGGCTGGGCTACATAGTGAGTTCCAGGTCAGCCTCAACTACATAGTGAGACCCTGTCTCAAAAGAACAAAAGAAAAACAAATAATAATAATATTTGCTAAACATGCTATACCTGTTGATTTTTCAAGGTAAGTAAGACTCATATATGTAGTTATTGTTTGGTTAAGTGTATATTTAAGCATAATATGTATATATTTATTTCATACATTTTTTCAATTAAAGATTGAAAATTTAATAATCTGTGCAGATCTACTTTGTTTTCTTTCATTGATTCCTCAGCACTCAACATAGAATATGTCACCTAGTAAGCTTTCAATACTATTTTCTAAATTTCTACATGTTAATTAACTACATGGAAAATGACATCTCAAATTTAATCTGAGATAACAATCTTCATGTTGTTCAGTTTCCTCATGCAGAAGCATACAAAGTATGATTAAAACATGCAGGGAACGTTTACATTTTAAACACAAGCTATAGTAAAAGACATTGAGATTAATCTCCCTCAATGTATTCTCCCCCAGCTTTGGACATGCTAACCAATCCCTCTTCACCACTTTCAGAGGCAGCTCCGGAAACCCTCTGAGTGTCTCTAGTGGTTCTGTTGTGCCTCAGCGTATTGACTCAAGTGAAGATATTTAACTTTGATGGACCTTTTGATTTTAAGGAAGAGCCAGAAGCCATACGCGGTACATGTTTGGTGAGCGAGAGAGACTAGGGCACGCTGTGGTGTTTTTAGGAATCTATCTTTTGGATGGCATTTGGTGATAGTATTCACGGCATTTTTTTTTAATCACACCTTTTAAATAAACTCACTGAAAAGAACTTTGAGAAGTGTTTCAGAAAGTGACAACAATGACGGAATCAGCCTACTCAGGGTGAGGTGAGCTGTTTTCAGGGAGATGAATGGCAGTTTGCATTTTACTGTAATAAATTTTAAAATGTAAGCAATAATCATATATTTTTACCACCCTTCAGGTTGTTTCTCTTTTATTCTAGGCTCCTTTGAACTATTTTATTTGCAAGTTTAATGTACAAGTATTGTGTCATTTTTTTTCTCTATAAGTATCATGTTTTAGTATTAAAAATGTAATTTAACTTAAAAGGAATTAAAGAATTTAGCATAATAAATAGATACCTGATGGTGTAACTAATCTCAACTGCAGACTTTTAAAAGATAGGGTCTAATGTTAATATTATTTACTAATTTCTACATCATTTTTTCTGTGCTCAAATATCCTACAAGGCAGGACATTGGCAGAACAGGAATTATCTTTCTTTCATGCCTCATTTTTCAGTGTGATATTTTATGAAAGTGACTGCAATTTCACAGACTGTTAATAAGTACATAATTTTATTGGAAATGCAAAAGGAATGTTAATTTTTTTATTTACAAGGTACTTACCGGTTTTCCACAATAGAGACACAGACAACACAGCATACAGAAGAGCCAGACTGAGCACAGGGAAGATGAACAGATTAAAGCTCGGCATGAGAGGAATGTTTTCCACCGTATTACTTCTATGTGAACTGAACAAGGCTAATTACAGCACTGCATTTGCTAAAGTTTAGAAAGAGTGCTTTTTAACTGCATGTGAGAATCACAGAGGCTCCTCCCGAGCACTCACAATGATTTGTTTTGAGATGGACATATGCACAGGTATGATCTCCAAGCTCTGCAGTTGTTTGCAAATGGTCAGAGCTTAATTCCATGCTGTTGCTGCATATCTATATAGGTGATGCTATGTGAGAAATACCTGCATCCCAGGGGTTTGCAGGCCCTTTCCTAGGCAGGAGTGCACCTTAAATCTCTAAACTAAATCCTACATTCACAGTTCACATCTAGCCTTATACTTGCAATTTAATAATATTTTCCTGAAAATACAGACTAATTTTGTCTTCTGTACTGCATTCAAAGGGCCATGCAGGTGCTTTGTTTGATTTTACTCTGCATCCTTCCCCAACACTTACAGTTTCCTAAATAGAATTGACTGTTTTTGTGTTTATTTGTTTAGTAGCTCACATGGTTGTTGTTCCAATGAACACATTTCTGGAAAATATTGCTGTAAAATAAATCATTTCCAGATTTGTGCATCCCTGGTGTACAGGAGGTGACCAAAATAGATTTTGAACGTTTACATTTTTTAAAAAAAATTAAGTAAACCATACAGTTTTTGCATAATTCCTCCTCAAAATAATTCCTATAGCTTCTAACACACTTAGCCCCTTTGTTTCAACTTTGAAAAGCAGTTCTGGAGGTTCACTCATGACAGTGTTTCTCTGAATATAATTAAAAAATATGGTTAATTCTATCGGCAAGGGCCATTCAACAGAAAGGTGGGGTCTCTGAAACAATTATGCTGTGTCCTCGATCACTGAATCTGGCGCCATGAAACTTCTGGCTCTTTTCCAAAGTCAAAAGAACCCTGCAAGGTAAATGTTTCAAATTGATCCAGGATATTGAGGCAACCATGACAGCCTAAGTAAAAGTACTAGTAAAAGCGCTGCTTCTGAACATAACAAAAACAATGGGATAAGTGTGTTCAAAGTGAAGGAGAATATTTTGAGAGTGAATAATGGAAAAAGTATTTTAATCTAATAAATTATATTTTAATTTAAGCACTCACCTTATTTTTAGAGCACACCTTATATTGCCGAGGATTTTATCATTTGAGGAAGATATTCAGCTCCTCAGACAAGCAAACAAACATTCAGAAGAAAACCCACTCACTTAAACTTGAGCTTTCTCAAGCAGATGATGAAGGCATATTCATCACTAGATAATTTCCAATTCCTAAGTTAACTGGTTACTTTTCCATTTTGTGCAAATTAATGGAAAAACTTGTGTTATGTATCAGGCACTGTGCCAGGTGCAAGGTGGCAAATGCAAATTAATACATAGTTGATGTTTATTATTATAGAAGTGAGCTAGTTGCTAGAAAAAAATATTGATAAAGAAACAATGGGTTGATGATTTTGGCCTTCTTGAGCTTGCCAAACTGTAGGAAACTTGGTTTTTCTTTCTTTCTGGTACTGAAGATAGAACTCAGGACCTTGAGTCCAGGCAGGTGCGGCACCACTGAACTACATCCCCAGCTCGGGACCTGGCATTTTTAAAAGAAAGTTCAAAACATAGCTTTTGATAGTATGTGGCTTGTCTTTTCTCTTCAATCTCTTTTCTTGTGTCTATTCTAACCTCTGGCTACTATGACGTATTTTGCCTGAGATACTACTTCTTAGAATTAAGTCTCCAGGCCCCTATTTTAGTGCTTTCTTTCACTTTCTTTTCTTAACCCTTCCTCATATTTTCTCCCCACATGATCACATCCATTTCTGAATTACCATATATACACTGATGACACTGAAATTATTTTATTGTATGCTTGAGGAGTCTTTATATTCATAAATACACACCGAGCCTTTCCTGAATTGTCGTAATACCTACCAATGAGCCCAACAAATGGTATATTCTTTTAAATATGATCTTTACGTGACTATTTACTGAAATTTTCTTAATGTTAGTTTTGGGTTCTAGATTTAGAGAGCCTTTGCCAGTCTTCAGAAGGGTGGAGGAAAGAAACGTCAATAAAAATCGTAATTCCCTTGATGATTACATAAAAATAAATTGTTCAGGTTCATCCACCGTGACAAGCCCCGGAATTCCTTTATGAAGCGGAGTAGTATTCCAGTGCAGGTCAATACCATGGTTCTCTTACGTAGCCATCCATTGACAGACAGTGCATTAATTGCGTGACTTGTCTGCCGCGAATGGTGCTGCATGTAACGTGCAAATGTAGATGTCTTTCTCACCTGCTTTCACACCCTTTAAAAATACACTCAGCAGTGGGATTCCCAGATCATATTGTGGCGCTCTGTTTCATTATTTTGAGGAACCTCTACACTATTTTCCATAATGGGTATATTAATTTACATTCCCATCAACGGAGTACAACCAAAGTAGATTGTGTGGAAAACTAAAGATGAGTCTCAAATGAGAAACTGAAGATAGACTGCAAAACATTGGAAAACTTACCTACATCACCCAGAAAAATGTGAAAAAATCATAGCTCCCTTCATAAAAGTTGGTTTAATTTGGTTGCTTGCTTCGGGAGATGAAGAAGATGAGGTGTACAGAGACTCCTGGCCTTTCTGCCTTGGGACCCCTCAGTCTGATCATTATCTGAAGTTAGAGAGGGAAAGGGCTGCAGCCCAAGACCATGAAACCCATGGTCAGGCTCAACAGACACTTTTTATTTCCTAAGGCTACTTCCAATTAACAGAACTCTTATGGTAGTTTTTGTTTTGTTTTGTTTTAATAGATTCTGGCTTTGTGGCCTCGGCTGCTTGCAAATTCATGATCCTCCTGCCTCAGCATACCAAGTAGCTGGAATTGTGGCTATACACCACCACACCCATGTTAGTTAACATCATTTATGAAAACAAAAAACAAATAGTAAATGATTTTTTTCATGGCCAGTATTTCAAATACCAAGCATGCAAGACCCCATTAAACTCAAATGCACAATATGGATTTTTTTTACACTAAGACTGATCAAGTTGCTGCCAGTGACCAATGAACTCCTCTGTATATTCCTCGGCAGCCCCTCACAGTGGAAAGAGCCAGATTGTGACTGTCGTCCCTTCTCTTCGTTACCTTCCTGTTTCTCATTATTAGTCGTTCGCACAAAGAGGAAGGATAGCTATTGCTGCTGTAGCCAGGAGGGTTCAGCAAAGTCTCTCTCCTGTTGAGAATGCGGTGCAAAACAGATAGACACCAGCTATCCCTTCATCTCGCCTTTTGCTTGTGCGGGCAAAAATGCAGACACTATTAGAATTTGTTGTCCTCTTTTTCTCCTTTCCCTTCTCTCTCCACTGTTACTCCTGCTCTTCCTATTTCACCTCCTCTAGCTATTCCAAATCTTTGTTTAAATGATCACTCCTCAAATTGTCTTTGAATTACACACTTAATAGCTCATTTTATGCCTAACTTTGATCCCTTCCTCAACTCTTAGATAAACACAATTTGAATTACCTAACCAATAGCTTTCATACTTTTGTTTCAGTTGACTCTTAGTATTACTTAAATGAGTTTAGGTTTTTTTTTCTAAAAACTAATTTCCATAAAATAACAAGGCTGTGCTGCTCTACACTGTTCTACCAAATATTTAAATAAATAGATCAAAATCGAAGCCCAGTTATCCAATAGTTCCTAAATGCCCTTGTGTGGTCAGCTTGAGATATGTCCCACTTCTTCCACAATTTTAGATGTTTTCCTTGTGTAAAATATCCCCTTCGCATATCCTCCTTCCCCTCCCTCCCTTCCTTTCTCTCTCCTTCTGCCCCTCTCCTTCTTCCTCCTCCCCCTCTGCTTCTCCTTTGCTCCCCCCTTCTTTCCCTCCCTTCCTCCTTTGCACAGTGATAAAGTTGGGGAAAATCCTCTTCCTACATAAAAGTGTTACTCCCAGCACTTTTCACTCAAGTCATTCTAAAGTGATTAACTACGAGCCTCTGCACGCAACAGACTTTGTTATTCCGTGGAGTTCTCATTGTTTGGTTTTGTTTTGTTTTGTTTTTTTTTTTCCTCTCTGATAACCTTTCCAATTTGTACTTTTCATTTAATGTCTCGGAATCTACCTCAGGTAATAGTGCCTTTTGTGAGAAAGCCTTCAGTAGCTCTAGTCTGGTTTGAGGTCCCACTCTGAGCTTTCAGTGAACGTTGAGGAACATCTACGAGAACAATTATAGAACTATATTTTTATATGCGTAAATGGAACTTCACATGATTCAGGAAAACTGTGCCTCAGAAATTCAGAACTTGCTTAAAAAGCTTCCCTAGGCTTCCTGGGCCCGATCAGGCACAGAGAAGCTACTCCTCAAAATGTCCGTAAACTGGGTTCACTTACATTTTCTTTCTTTATCCTTACACTGCTTTCCTAGATGGAAACTAAAAGCACCCCCTTTAAAAATATCCTAAACAGTTTCTAAGCATAATCTTTAGATTTTGAATAGCACAACACCTCCTAACTTCTCTTACTTGTTTTTCCAGCTTCAAGATGTAACTCTTTGGACTTGAATATGAAGAGAAAAGGGATAAAAAGGCCCCTTCAAGGTTTCTGCTTTTTGTTACTTTGTTTTGTCAAATAGATGGAAAATTGGGATGATTCATGTTTGATACACTGAGAATGTTTTCTCCTCACGGCAGGCTGAAATTTCATGACGTGGACTGTGTAGTCTATGACTGCTTCCAAGAAAACAGAATTGACCCCTGTTGTACCATGATTTTTCTGACAGTGAAATGGGAAGGCCATGAGGTCAGGCAACCAGAAGCTACAACTCCCCAGAAGGGTAAGTCCTTAGCATCAGCTTCTTGAATTGGATGAGATATACTTTGATTCTAATCTTCAAATTTATCTGTCAAATGGTCCAGCTGATAGCATTTCTCTTACCTTCTCTTACAATAACGTTCATGTTTTATACTTGGGCATAGAATACCAAATCCCTTGAACTTTGTTTTTTGTTTGCTTGTGTTTGTTTTTGTTTTGCTAGTGGAGACTGAACCCAAGGACATTGCACTGAGTTACATTGTCAGCATGCTCAATTAGCATTATTGTATTTCCTATCTCTTTGTTGGCTTTCAAATGAGTAAAACATTGAAAAATATTAGCATTGATTCTAAAAGCGATTTTCAGGCTGATGGCAGCTTTCCTGTGCTGCTATTGGGTATATTTATTATTTTCAACCTACAAAAGAGAAAACTGTGAATCAGAGGAGGTAAGAATTGCATTAATATATAATGCTTATTAAACCACAACTCATGACTAAAACCCAGGTCTTTCCAAATCCAAAGCTGCACTGATTACTGTTCTCATTCTTAGGGTGCTTTTGTCATACTTTTCTTCCATATTTTTCTGTGGCTCTAAAGTTCTTTGTCTGATTCCCTTGCCAGGCCTTTCATGACCAGAGGGTGGAGATCCCCCAAGTCAGTTCCACTATCTGGGCCTCACTCAGCTCAAGGCACAGTGAGAGAGGAACTATCAATGCCCAAACCTGCTTCTCCCATGTACCCCTTCACAAAGCCCCGGGGCGTTTTGTGTTTTCAAGAATATTTCCCCAGGTGGTTTTCTGAGCCATTCTGTGAAGAATTCAATATTACCAGTGAGACACTGGAAAATTATATAGAAAAAAAAGAGAATCAAATACACAGACCTTTGAATGACTTGAGACCCGCCCCCGCCCACAGGAAAGAAGAGCAATGGGAAAGAGGATCGGTTAGCCTCACTGGGTGCAGACATTAGCCCCAAGGAGGCCAGTGTTGGAAGTGAGTCTTTGCTATTCACCAGTTATATGTGGCTTTGGCAGTCACTGGCTGGCCATAAGCCACAGTTTCCTCATCCGTATATGAGATACTCACTCTTGTCCCTGATCTGTTGTGGACAGAAGAGAGGAGCAGTCACTCCATGAATATCTAGGACTTTCATGATGCCTTTTCTACCATTTTATCCCCAATTCCATAAAGAAGCTCAAGCCAGATTAGTCCTCACAATTGAACGAAAGCTCCAAAATTGATACAATGGCTACGTACAGCCCTGCAACTCAGACCACTCTGATTGCCTACTGAATCACACCGCATTTGTCCAAAGTGTGTGCATTTTATGGTTGCATGAATTATACTGTGTGAAATCCCCTTCATGCCCCCACTGTTTTAATCACTTTTCTTGTTGCTGAAACATCATGTCTGACACTCACTGTCACAGTGTGTGACCCTGGCAGCCCACAGGATGGAAAGATTACTCATCAAAGATGAGATTTGGTGTGAACATTGAAGGGTCCAGAGGGGCTGTCTCACCCGAGAGCACCCAGCATTATGGAGACTCCCAAGAGTAACACCCATGTCAAAAACTCTGTGGCTTTTATCTAGAAAATTGTTGTAAGAGAAAAAACAAGAAAAGCAGTTCGGGCAATAGACTGTCTCAAGGCTAGGCAGTTTGTCAGGGAAAGGGGAAGGACGATGTCGAGACGTAGCATGTTTCACAAATTTAAACTTCTTGCTGTTCAACCACTCACTCCTCAAAAAGCTTATGGGCTTTTGCACCTCAGTTTAACTACTCGTTCTTCGGCCAAGCACCCTACAGTTCATAACACAAAGAAGGAGAGGTTTATTTAGGTTCCCGGTTTAGTCAAGAGCTTGTCAGTTCCAAGGCAGAAAGACATAGCAGAGGTGGAACGTCTTACATCACTGGAAGCTATGAGAAAGAGGAGCTGGGAGGGGAGGCACACCCTTCCAGGCCACTCCCCCGGGGCCTACCTCTTCCGACCAGAGCCCAACTCCTAACTGTAAATCAGTAGTATCTTCTCATGAATCAGTCTCCTTTCCAAAGCTCAGCTTATGAGTCCAGGAGTTTCTTGGGAGACATTCTTGACCCAAATCATAAAACCTGCCCTTTGGTGGGATCCAATGATCACAATTTAAAAGACAGATTTGGGATTACATGACTCATTGGTGATTTTCCTTCATGAAAATGGGCTTTATGGCTAAGATTGCAGAAATACACATGCACTGTTGTATGCCTGGGCAATTCCTCTAGAAGCCTGCATGTACATGCGCTCATTTAATGCTCATATTGCCCAACAATCTTGGATTTGTCATCTCCAATATATAAATGAAAAATCTGTAGCTGTGCTGAATTTACACATTCATTTTACATGCTTTTTTTTTACTGAAGACCTCACACACAGTCAAGAGTCATGTGACATATTGCCATTCAGAGAGGAGCTGGTTAAGGACACTGTGGAGCTGGGCGTGGTGAAGCACACCTATAATCCCAGCATTCGGGAGGCTGAGGCAGGAGGATTGCTGAGTTTGAGACCAGCCTGTGCTACATAGTGAGTTCCAAGTCAGGCTCAACTACTTGGTGAGACCCTGTCTCAAAAAAACAAAAAGACAAAACAAGCACACTGTACAAGGTCACATCTTAGGCCTGACACCCTGATGAAAACATTAGACCTACAAAGGCATTTCTGTTTTCTCATCTCTAAATGGGAGCAGAGTTTTTATGAGATTTAAATGATGCAAAATTAAAAGCATTTAGCACATGTTTTGCAGTAAGTAATCAAAAGGTGTTCACCACTTTTCTTTTGAGATTAAAAAACTGTCCAGCAGTCTGAGAATTGTTAAGATGTGTTATATACATGTGCCAACTCCCCATGAATGCAATTATGTACTGCAAGCGTACTAATGAAAATGGAAACATTTAATGTTTTAAAATCTCAAAATAGTGAAAGAAATATGAGAAATGGATATCAGTTGGTAAAAATTTCACAAGTGAGCAAAAATTATTAGATTTGTTGCATTTACAAAGCATAGAGAATCGGCTCTGGCAGGGGATGAAAAGCTCCAGGTTCAGATGATTCCAAGGCTACCGGGCTTGGAGATTTACTGGCTCCCTCACCAGGTACCCACAGACACTTGCTGCCTTCAAGAAAGGCAGGATCCTCAACACATCTGCTGTTAAGGGGTGTTCAGTACATGCTCTCAGCAACTGTCTGGAATCCACTCAAAGGACACTGTGCTCAAAATTGTCTCCAGCAAGGATTTTAAAATGCATCCAGTTTATCTGTACCGATCTCATAAAAGCTCAGCAGATATTTTGCTAATGGAAAAATATTGGAAATGTGTGAAACAGTGCATTATAGATAATCAGGAAGGGTAGTCTTGTGCTCGCAGGTCAGGAATGCCTTGCCTATCTGTAAATTTCACTCCACGTTATATAGAGCGATATAAGACAAGTCTAATCTTCAGACATAGCTACTCACAACTCTGAATCCATCCTTCCACTGTTTTTCAAATCAAATAATGTTCTTGGGGTGGTATCTGGAAGGTGGTTTCTCCTGAGAAAATATCGCTGACTGACATTTAGACACAATACAATTTGCAGTTATGAAGCACCCATCTGCATTCCTTCCATTTTAATAGGAGAGAGAGAGAGGGAGAGCGATAGGTAAGGGTGTGATAAGTGATGTTCAGTTACAAGGAGAGAGGAGACAGAAAGAGTTCTCTAAGAAATAGGATGGGCCCATCAACTACTATGGATACGAGATACTGAGCAGGGAACATTCTCAGCACTCCAGCGTGGCACTAAGGACATACATTTTTTTTCCACTGAGTTTTATCCCAAGGGAGAAAGGCATGACTTTCTCCATTATTCACATGTGGACACTGGAGCATACATGTATAAGAAATGTGCTCCCAAGGAAGAAGCAAGATCAGAATTCAAATTCAGTCTGCTGGATTCTACAAATCACACTTTGAATAACTACTGTGGGTCCACGTCTCTCTGGTTCCCCAGAAACATGTCAGGTTTAAGGAAAGAAAAGAATCTATTCGTGAGAACCAGTCAGAAACATATGATGACCTATAGAGTCTTCACGAGAGGTCAGCCTTCTTCGTACTGAGTATCTACTGCAGTTTGAGATTCTAGTGTGTCTACCTGACAGTGAAGGGTGAAGTTGGAAGAGGAAGCGGGATACCTTTTAGTTTGGTTGGGAAAGAATGTTTCTCCTATCAGTGCTTGGTATCATGGCACATGAAATGTAATTCCGTTACTGTCAGATGTCTTAAGTGTGATTAAACTGTCGTTCTCAGTCAAAAACTCTTCAGAGAAGTAGTGGCTCACGCAGCTTGCAATCTAGGGACTTGAAGTAGAAATAATGCTAAATTAAAAATGGTAATATTTACCCCAGGGATGCTGGGGAAATAAGGCGACACTGTTCACGAAGGCCCTACTAGAGCACCTGGTACAGAGCAGGTACTTCCTCCACGTTCTTACCCTTCTCTTGAAAGTAGTATAATGATCACTGAAGGTGTCAGAAAAGAATAGAAAGGCAATAGATGCCCCCACTGAGCACTGTATTTAATTTAAGAAAAGAAAATCTTGTTAGGAAATGAGTGGAAATGTTTCTACATTTGCAATAGAGCAGAAAACAAGGCAATTATGGAGATCAAGAATTGACTGTAATCACCAGTCATAGAGGAAAAATTACAGCACCAGCTCCTGAAAAGAAAGGAGACAAAGCTGGGATTAGGGTTCGAATATATCTGAGGAGATTGGAGAGAATATGGCAATAGTTTTTGCTTTCTTCGGTAGGATTTTTAACGAATTTAATAGAGGGAAGCAAGGTTTCTTATAAAGATTCCTGAGACAGGTTTTGGAAAAGTTAATAGATAATTTCCACAAATATTTTATCATCGATATTGCCACCATTGTCAACATCACACAGCCCTTACTGATGTTCCACAAGTTTTTGGAACTATTTAAATAGCAATTCAGAAGTGATTATTTTATGAT